TGGATAGTTGCATCTTTCATACAATCGAGCCAGCTGCTGTTGCAGCTAGTGCGCAGGAAGTCAAAACGCCTTCAATTTTTTGAACGCAATACGGACATCGGTCGAGTTCGAATAGTTGCATCAAGGCGCTGTCGACAACGCGTCCCAGTATTCATTGCCGCAGACGAATGCGAGTAGGGCGAAGAGTGTCAAACTTCCTTCAGTTTTTTACATATTGATGGCCAAAGTAAGAGACCACGCATCTCCGTTTGCTACGTTGCAGACTTCTTGTAAGTTTTAATTTTTTCTCCTGAAAACTATACTCAACGTAAAACGTATATACTCCGTGTTTTTTCTCTGTGTTAGCAGTTTAATGGTTTGAATTCAAAGAAATGTACTTGTGAGAAAAATAGTTTTAAAGTGTCGGCTTATGGTTTTTTTAATTTTTTTTTTATTATTATTATTTTTTTTTTTTAGGATTCTTTAAAGTCGGATCAAAATTCCACCGTATTTTATTCCTTTTTTCTTTTTCCTTTTTTTCTTTTATTCTTTTATTCTCTTTTCCTTTTTTTCTTTTTTTTCTATTTTTTTTCTATTTTCTTTCCCTTTTTCTCTTTTTCCCCTTTTTTTAAATTTTATTTTGTTTTTTTCGTTTTTTCCATAAATGAGGAAGTTAGACCCTTAATTGGAATAATTGGATACATAGGACAGGATTAAACATAAAAACCACGATAGATGGAACCCAATGACGCTAAAAACCTTCAAATATTCATTGCTCACATTCAGCATGCGGTATTGATCTGGTTTATGACGTTATAACCGAGTTGGTACGGTCCATGGGGAAAAAACTTGAGCATCCGTAATTTTCAGCCACAAAATATTATATGACGAACTGAATTAGCTTGTCAAATGATAATACGATGCGGGCGAATCAAAAGGTCACGATTTTCAGGCAGGAAACGTTGCAAACCAGAGTAGGTGGTTTGGGAATTCCGTCGTTGATATTCGCTCAAAAACTTCATTTTTATGCTCTCTGCTATTTTCAAGAGCCGCCAATGTAATTTCAGCCGACCTTTTTTCTTTCTCATCCCCTCCTTTTTTTATTTTTTAAATATATCTCAACATTTATTGATCCTCAGAGAGAAATTATGATATTTACATTATGATGGTGTGCGTTGGTTATAAAAATAAAATTAGTTAATTAGTTAGTTAGTTAGTTATTTTATCAAAGACATTTAGCAATTTAGGCTAAGGTCTCCGAGGCAGGAATCATAAGTATATACATATATATTGAGCGTGTAATATATAGTTAGTTAGTTAGTTATTATAATTTTAAGAAATTCAGCGACTCAGGCTATTAACGTCTTTACAGATAATTTTGAAAATAAGAGTATAAACGAAAATTTAGATTTTTAAATTAAGAGAGGTGAAGAGTTTTAGAATTTTGGTGGTCATATATACAGAGCGTGTATTATATACATATATACAATTCCTAACAAATTAACTAAGTATGTAACAATTATACATATTACATGCAGCCAACTTTTAATGGGGCAAAAATTGTTCAAAGACAGTAATATTTCCTTGAAGGGAAGATTTAAACAAAGCTCCAGAACTGCCCAACATTGATCAAATTTCATCATTCTTGACCCAAAAAAATAATTTAATTAAAAAGCCGTGGAGGGAGGGGGAGGAAACTGCCCTCTTGCTCCCTCTATGCCAGTAGCACGTGACGTGACGTCATGTCGGGCGCACCTGCAGCCACTCTCACGTTCGGCCGTCACGTTCACGTTTACGCGCGTTTCGGATACGTGAGCGAGTCGTCGTCCGCACTGCGTCTTCCGCGCGGAAAATAAACAACGGCTGAGTGGCCGGTTGCCTAGCCGCGCGATCGCAGGTGCAGGCGGTCGGCGCACAACGGAATGAGTCAATGGGAGCAGTTGGACAAAATTTGAAAAGTTTAAATGCTTTTAACTCCGTTTTTACGAAATGTTAACGTCTCAAAAATTGGCCTATTGGTTTTCTAATAAAAGTTTCTTCTAGAAACACAGATTAATATTTAAAATTTGACGAAATAAACATCTAAATTTGCAGTTTTAGTGAAAAAAAATCATGTCCGACTTCTCTCATCGATTCGATCCATTGTGCGGCGGTCCGCAAGTCGGGCGAACAGCAGCCCGCGGCACACTGGACCGACTCGATAGGAGAAATTGGACAAAATCTGGAAACTTTGAAAGCTTATTTTTTCGAAAATATGAATCAAAAAAGTTTAAGAGTAGATTCATTGGTTTTCTTTGTGAAATCTCCTTTCAGAAACAACCCTTGAAATTTAATTTGTACAGATATAAACTTTAAAATTTGAAATTATAGCAAAAAAATTTATGCCCAACTTCCTCTCTTAGCTCGATCCAGTGTGCGGCGGCTGTTGTTGTGAGCAAGGCGGCCTTCGGAGCTTTGATACACATTCGGACTTGTTTACCCCCTCGATAAACTTGGCTCTTCGCCCGTAACGCCCCCCCCCCCCCCCTT